CCTGGGCTGCAGTGTGAACGGGGTGAATTACACCCTTGGTCGGCCCCGGGCTGCAGTGTGAACAGGGTGAATTACACCCTTGGTCGGTCCCTGGCTGCAGTGTGAACGGGGTGAATTACTCCCTTGGTCAGTCCCGGGCTGCAGTGTGAACAAGGTGAATTACACCCTTGGTCGGCCCCTGGGCTGCAGTGTGAACGGGGTGAATTACACCCTTGGTCGGCCACTGGGCTGCAGTGTGAACGGGGTGAATTACACCCTTGGTCGGTCCCTGGCTGCAGTGTGAATGGGGTGAATTACACCCTTGGTCGGCCCCTGGGCTGCAGTGTGAATGGGGTGAATTACACCCTTGGTTGGCCCCGGGCTGCAGTGTGAACAGGGTGAATTATACCCTTGGTCAAACCCAGGCTGCTGTGTGAATGGGGTGAATTACACCCTGACTGTGTCTTTCAGGATTATGAAACACGGGTGCATCCGGTGTCACCGAAGGGAATAAATGTGACATTATTTCACTGGAACCGTGGGCTGCTGGTCCTCAGCAGTCCCTTGAGGGGCAGGCAGTGGGTGGGCAGATGAGCTCCAGGCAGCTGAAGCAAATGGATGAGGACACTGGAGCCCCCTCCAGGGCGCAGATGTGGAGTGGGCGGCAGGCAGCGCGTGCTCCTAATGCAGATACCACTGGCCTCTCTCCCCCAGACCCAGGATGCTATTTAAAGGTGCCTGGGTTTTCCTGGCCTCTCTATCACAAATCAAACCTCCCATGTCTTTTAAAAAAATCAATAAAGTCTTCCCAAAAGCGCAACTGGCTTTGCTCATTAGGGTAACAAAAGCAAATTGCAGAGCCGTGGCCTCAGAGGTCCGCATAAGCCAAGCCTGGAGAGCCGGCTGCCAGGGCATTTGCAGGGCTGGACACGGCTGGGCAGCAGGAGGACACGTTGACACCGGGACCCCAGAGTCAAGCCTTCTTCCCACTACTCCGGAGCTTTTCCAGGACTATGTTGAGTTAAATGTCCACGGCTCTCAGAGCTCCTGGGTGGCTGGGAATCTGTCTCTGGTCCCAGACCGAGCTGTCTCTGTGCAAAGGCCAGGACAGAGCTGGAGGAGCCGCTGTCGAGCCCAGCTTGGGCACCCTTCGCACCCCCCGGGCCAGGTGGGGAGAGACGGTGTCCACGCGGCGTGTGGCTTGCTGCTGTCAGTGGCAGCCTCCCCAGGACTTGGAATTCATCTCTGCAATTCCATCTCTTCCATCAGTAAATTATAGTAATGGAAGGCTTCTACACAGTGCCTTTGTGGGATAAGGAAAAACTACTGCCAGAAATTAGTCATTATTCTCTGGAAGGACAGGCTAATGAAGGGTTTCAGATGCGCGTTCTAATGGAAAACAAGTGGAAAGATGGGTTAAATATTGACTCAGCTCCAGAGGAACTCCGAAGGCCTGGGGAGTTCATCTGGTGACATGATTGCGCCGATGTAGACCTGGGATTCATGAGGGTCCTGTGTGCACCCCACACTCTCCCCCAGCCCCCTGGAAACCCTGAGGGTCCTGCATGTACCCCACAGTCTCCCCCAGTCCCCCAGGATCCCTGAGGGTCCTGTGTGTACCCCACAGTCTTCCCCAGCCCCCAGGATCCATGAGGGTCCTGTGTGTACCCCACAGTCTTCCCCAGCCCCCTGGGATCCCTGAGGGTCCTGCGTGAACCTCACACTCTGCCCCAACCGGCTGGGATCCACAAGACTCCTGCACGTACCCCACATTCTCCCCAGCCCCCCAAGATCCACAAGAGTCCTGCATGTACTCCACATTCTCCCCCAGCGCCCCCCGGGATCCATGAGGGTCCTGTGTGCACCTCGAAGTCTTCCCCAGCCCCCCGGGATCCACTAGAGTCCTACGTGCACCCCACATTCTTTCCTAGACCCCCGGGATTCACAAGGGTCCTATATGTACCCCATACTCTTCCCTAGCCCCCCGGGATGCACTAGAGTCCCGCGTGTACCCCACACACTTTCCCAGCACCACCCCCCCGGGATCCGTGAGGGTCCTTCGTGTACTCCACATTCTCCCCCAGCCCCCTGGGATCCATGAGAGTTCTCTCTGCACCCCACATTCTTCCCCAGTCTCCCAGAACCACGAGGGTCCTGCATGTGCCCCACACTCTTCCCCAGCCCCTGGGATCCACAAGGGTCCTGCGTGTACCCCACATTCTTTCCCAGCCCCCCTGACTTCATGAAATCCCCTGGGACGATGCTGACCTGCCCTGTTGGGTGTGGCAGGTGCCATGGCCTGCCCTTTTGTGGTTAGGGTGCAGAGTGAGACACCTTGTTAGTGAGCAGGACACAGAGCCCACCCCAGGGCTCCCTGAGCAAGGGGACCATGACTGGAAAGTGTAGGCGTGGCTGGCAGTGCCAGGGTGGCCGCACCCCTGGCTGAGATGTGTTTCCAAAGTCTCCCCACCTTCCTTCTTTCTCCTCCAGAGGTCCTCTCTGCAGCCATCATGGCCTTGGAGGCCAAGAGCTTGTTCCTAAGCAGCTGGACAGCCCTGGGGATGAGGGGAGTGTGTCTTTCCCAAGGGTCCACACGAGTCCCAGGGCGGGTTCTCAAAGGTCTCACTGCCCTGCCCCGCCCCTGCCCCTGCCCCTGCGCCTGCTCCCGCACCCCTCCCCAGGCAGAAGGCTGGCAGCCTGTTGCACACAGCCAGGGGACCTCCTCCATCTTCATGCGCTCTGGGCCATCTGGGATCATACGCAGCACACATGTTCACCATTGAGTAAGCCGGGCCTCCAGGAAGCGGCATTTCCACCGAGGCCTTTGGCCCGGGCTGCAGAAGGGACCCTAAGACTCCTGAACCCGATGGCAGGCGAGGGCGCTGCTGAGTGACACACACATGTTTTCCACAAAGAAATCAAGGTTTGTTTATTTCAAGTTCCCCAAAAAGTGGAACCAACCAAAAAAAAAAAAAAGGTCCTCCTGAAATGACGGGAGAGCCGAGGATTTTTGCCCGATGCCCAGAGGGGCCTGAAGCCCACAGAGGTGACTGGGGACCCCCGGTGGGCAGGAGCTGGGGCCTGGCTTCACAGCCCTCACTCCGTCCACCGAAGCTTCGCCACTTCTGTATGCTGCGTGTATTGGGCTTCCCGATGGGATTTCACTGGAAGAAATGTCTACAAAAAAATCTTTTTGAGACAATTATAGAGCCTCATGCAATTGTACAAAATAAGACAGACAGATCCTGTGAGCCCTTCAGCCAGCCTCCCCCAAGGGTGACACCCGCAGAACCGCAGTGCAAGACCACAGCCCCTACTCAGATCCCACCAGTTTCACCTGCATTCGTTGGTGGGTCTGTCTGTGTGTCTGTGTCTGTGTCTGTGTGTCTCTGTGTGTGTCTCTGTGTCTGTATATCTGTGTCTGTGTATGTATATGCATCTGTGTGTCTGTGTCTGTATGTGTGTGTGTGTGTGTCTCTGCATCTGTGTGTGTCTGTGAATGTCTGTGTGTATCTGT